AATACTATTAATTACATTAATTGTTAATAGGTGATTAAATCAGACTATAAAACAATAATGAACTTAATATAAAATAATATATTGTATATATATATATATTATGAAGTTGCTTCTAAAAGGTTAAAAAGTTTAAATAAATGAAAAGAAATTTTCATTCAATTTTAAGTATCAAAAATTAAACATCTTATTTTGGATAATCATGAATAGCAATTCTTACTAAGGCCTTAAAAAGCTTTTAACTTACATGTATAAACTAACTTAGGAAACTGTTTCTAAAAACAGAATCATGCCGAAATGTCAACATTGTGCAAAAATACAGGCATTTTACAAAATAGAAATAAATAAAACATTATTTGAACGAAAAGATTTTGTAAACCTTATCAATGTAAGGAAAACAATATTACAAAGTACATATATTTTTGTATGCACTGAAGAAACAGTCCATTTTACAAAGGACGATTTTGACAAAGTGTGAATTAATACAATTCAATGTTTGAATAAATCATCACTTACAATTTCCTCACAATTATAGCTATCAAACCAGAAGTTTCTTTAACACATTTTGATGTACACAATTTTTTTGTATTTGTTTTGAATTTTGCGCAAAGCTACACAAGGGCATTCTGCACTAGCCATCCATAATTTAGCAGTGAAAGAAAAGTAATGCTTATAAAAGTTGTTGTTAAGATAAAGAAAAATTTGTATTTTGTTGGACAGCTTTAATTTTAATACATATACTTTGGTCCATATATATACATAATCTTATTTTTGTGACAATGAAAATTCTCTCAACACAAAGTTGAAAAAAAAAGCTAATTTTTACTTCCATGGCATAGATTATAAAATTAATGGTCCAACATACCAAGTTATGTTTGAATTATTTGATAACATGTTTGGACCTATTTTTTCATAAGGACCAGAGGCCTGGGGACATGCAGATCAAGAAGTAATTGAAAAAAAAAAAAGGAGTAGAGATACTTGTCTGTAAAAGTTATTTCAGGAGACAGTAAGATTGCTAATAATTTCTTTGTAATTTGAAAACATTAAAGATGACCGATTTCACTCAAATGTTAAAAAAATGCTTGAAATATTGGTTGAAACTATTAAAAGTTTCTAAACTCAGAAAGGTCAAAACATGTTATGTTGAGAGTTTTAGATGAAAATGTGAATGCCATCTAGGCTACAACATTACAAATGTGTTTTTAGATTCAGTTTTGAAATGACGTGAATAATGCAAGATGAAGGCAATGAGCAAAAGTTTCTGGCAAATCATTTATCAAATTTATGTTTAACAGCCTGGAATAAGTTTAAATGAAAATTCAAAATTAGTTGTATAGAAAAACAATAATGTGGGGGATTCAGTTTAAAAGTTTCCAAAACATGAATTTAGGTTATTGTTTTGAATGACTTGCATGTTAATACTAATTGTCAAGTTATTTCATTCATAAAAAAACCCTAGAAATCTATTGGTCTTTCATTATTGAGCATCCCCTCCTCATGATTCTTTTGAAAAGTTATATTTTGTGTAAGTAAAGAGCTTACAGACAAAATTGCACTTTATATTCTTTTAAAATTTTTTGAAGGAATTAGAAAATCAACTAACATACATAAGTGTATACATAAGATACATAAGTGTATGCACTCAAATGTACTTATAGGGCACTCAAAGCTGGATTCACAAGGTTATATGAAAATTGGATTAGATAAGTAATGGATCAATCAAAACATTATTTACATATATGTTTAAATTTATGAAATTTTCATCATAGAGGCCTGAAATGGAGATTCAGAGGTTCTGGGGGACTCTTAGAATCAAAAGCACAGATTTATGTGAAAATTTACCACAAAGTTTAAAGTGTCATTCAAAGCAAATTGTTCCCCATGAGCTGTTGTTCGTACTTTTGCTAGTTATATGGTATTTCTAAATATGAAAGACCTTCAGCAGCAAAATTTGAATTTCAAAAATAATCTATCATAATGTCAAAACCGTGAGGTATGTAGGCACAGATAAGAAAGACAGATTTGTCTTGTTATACTTGTAGAGAACAATTATTTTGGTAACTAACTTGTTCTCAGTTTGATCAACTTCCTATTCCTAACCAAATCACTTCAGTTTTACCGCTGAAAAGCTGATTTGTGGTAAATTCAGTAGCTCAGAAATATGTTTTTCCTGAATAAAATTGGTATTGTAAGAATAAAATTTTAAGAACAAAATTTAATACAGATCTTTCAATTAATACAAGTGATCTGCAATGGGATTAAGACCTGAATCATTTCCATAATAAACTAAATAAATTCATCTGCTTGAAGTATGTCAAATTAGACACTGTGGTACTAGCTTTTAACAATGAATCTCTGAGTCAACCAGACTATGTACTATACTCCACTTTAAAGACACACACATTCAGTATTTTCTTAACTCTCTTGCAAATTATAAGGAATATGTACTATCATATAAGGAACCCAACAATCTCCAACAAAAGGAGATAAAATGATTTTCTATTTTAGTAGATAGATAAAATTTTTAATAAACTTTGCACTGAGGTCATGGTGTTGTATTATATTGATATATTGTTTTGAAACTGATAGTTATTGAGAACTATAATGACAACCGGCAAATTTTCTGTCAACATTGCCCTTATTTAAGAGTACAGATGTCAGAAACATCAGATTCAAATCTTACTTGCAAATGTAAGTAGCAAATTGCTTGAGATCCTACCTGTGAATTAAATGTGGATGCAATTACAACAAGATAGCAATTTCAAAGAATGCAAATTATAAGAGAGGCAAGTGAAAAATATCCATTGATGCTACTAAAAATGTTCATTGGAAGAAGTGGACATCCATAACCAGAGTGGTTAACTCTGGGGAGATAGAAAACCACTAAGACTACTACAAGCATAGAAAAAACAACAGCAAAAAAGACTTCTCAAATCAAGCCTTACAAATCCCCATATCCCTGCTTTCTTACCAAAAATTATACAATTGCTCTGGTTGACATTTTACAATCTAATAAACTCTGTTCACTTTAGGCTTATTGAGTAATTAATGTTTATTTCTCTAAAAAGATTTTCAATAATCACTGTCACACATATTTAATATTTCTTTTTTAAAATGCTGTGCTGTAATAAAATTTGCAAATAACTCATAATTCAAACAAGTCTACAGTAACCTACAGCATTAACCTTATATACAAGTTATACTTTACCTCTAAAAGATGTTTCTGCAGATTGTTTAAAGTATCATTTTTGAAGTTTATAGTTAGTGCATCACAAAAGTTACTATCCTTTTCCTTGGATGATGGAGGCTGAAGCTTTGAAACTTGCTGCTTAAGGTGTTGTTTTTGATCTTCCTACATATAAATGAAGAAGTTACAAAAGGAAAATCATTATGAATATTCTTGTAGCTTGAAAGAGTAAATACAGATAAACATGATCAAATGTAATTAAGAAAGTAATAATTACATGCTAATTATTCATAAATTATTTGAAGTTGTGGCAATGAGGAATAAAGCTACAAACAAGGATGGAAAAATAAGTTTCATATCAACACTGGTAGCGAGCATAACCAACAATAACCAGTCAGGACCAATATAGATTCTTAACTATACCATTTTTGATTTAAGAATTATAAAGTAAAGTATGTGAAACAAAGTCAAAATTTGGTTTATTCTTAAATTATTTAATAATCCTCACAATTTATATGGTGTGCTTTAAAAATCACCTTTCAAATCATTAATCTATTTCAATCAATAATTTTTTGCTGTATACAAATAAATACATTTTTACACACTAAATGTTGAATCTTAGATATTTTATAAACACTAACTTTTTTCAATTAATTTTTGAACTTTAGTGCACCAGTTGTTTCTATTCGAAACTAAGTATGCAAATTCTAAGAATAAACAAGCCAGGTGAATTAAAAGAAACTTTTTGAAGAAACTTCTTGATCTTATGGATAAACAAAACAGTAAACAACTACAAGAACAACAACAAAAACTATACACATATGCAAATTTATATACTATTTTAATGTGCAGATATATAAATTGAAATATCTTAGCATATGGTTATTAAGCAGCATGTGGGCCTTGTGAAATAATACAAACAATGACAGATTAGAAGTGAGCCAAATTAAAATTAGGACAACATTACACAAATTAAAAGTAAATGTACCTCCCAAAATTTTTCATTGATCTCAAGCAAACTGAATAAAGATGAAGATTTTTAAGTAAGTACAATCACTAAAACTATCACAATTTAAAAGTTTTTTTTTGTACAAATACATATACATTTTCACTCACTTAATGATGAATCTTAGATGTTATGCAAATTAACTTTTGTCTGCTTAATTTTTTAACTTTCGTACACTAGTTGTTTCTTTCTGAAACTAGTATGCAACTTCTAAAAGTAAATAAGACAGGAAAATTACATACATTATCAATCAATACTGTTACGTATAACATATACAAGTAAATGCAGTAACACACACTTATATATATATGTGCTATTATACTGTACATATTTTAAAGTATCTCAAAAATGGACCTGTAGAAGAGGTTTTGTATTTTTAAGCATTAATCTTAATTGCATGAAAGTCTTCAGTAAAATTAATAGGAGACAATTTACGAGACACAAATACTTTACATGTGTTTATTCATGGAGCAAGTACATCATCAAGGTGCTTAAGCTAGGGATAGGAACCAGCAATATCTTTAGAAATATATCTCTCTATCCAAAGAGTTATTTCGAACAATCAGTATGTAATAATAAATAAAAAAGGTATTGGTTATAAAAGAAATACATAAATCATTGGCCAGAACTTAACATCATAAAAAATTTACTTACAAAATGAAGCTGTCTTAAGACCTGTTCCTCATGCTTGAGCTGTTGTACTAGTTGAAGTCGTTTTTGAACAGCAGCTCTGAAAGTTTTCAAGTTAATTTCTTTCTGTTTTAGTGTCTCTTGCACACGAAACTCTTCTCTCACAGCTGCATTTTCGGCCTAAGGTATTTTAGCAAAACATTTTAGGTAATTTTTTTTTAAACTTCCAAAAGAAGATATCGATGAAATTTATAAACCAATACTTGTATAATTTTCAAAATGTAATAAAAAAAATACTGCTTTTTTTACCTGTTTAAAGTGAATGTAAGCAATGCAATGTTATTTGAAAATGAGAACAGATACAGTTGGAAAAGCAGTAGCATCACCATGATCAACCAATTTAAAATCAGTATGAATTTAGAAATCCTTTATTGCTACTCATCCTTAGCTCCACTAATTATCACAAAGTTGTCTGTCATGATAGTGCCATTATATTAATATTGTATAAACATGTGACACAATAGTTGAAAAGTACTGGTTTACTTAGTAAATTGTACTAGGTTTGAACCATTTGGCTAACATGTTGTTTTGTTTATAAATCAAACAGCTAAATTTAAAACTGTAAGATAAAGGAGGCTTTATAAGATTACTTTGAATCTCAAAATTTTTACAGTGCCTTATGATTTATAAAATAAACTTTTAATTTAGATGTAAATTGGGAGACAAACTTGGTTAATTTTTAGAGCAGCAATTTGTAGAATTTCTGAAACAGTGCACCTTATCAAGTCATTCAATATTTTGTTTTTATTTCAAATATCCTTCACACAGAATTAATCAGTTCAAATTATATAAGGAGGTTAAAGTTCATCTATTGAAAAATGAAATTGGTCTTAAATACAAGTTATCTAAGTTTCTCATTTAAATTTAATTTACATAAATAATGTCACTGATAACAACAGTAAAAATGCTTATCATAACACTATTCATCTCCATACTCTGAATTATTTTCATACTATCCAACATGGAATTCATTCTTGAACTAGCCAGACTGAGAACATGTGGTTAGAGATGGGCAACTTAATCAATTTCCAATGAGCAATGTTTACATCAAATAGCGTCACATAAACTAATCAATTAGTCAAAATTACAATTAAAATGATTGTCACAAAAAAATCAACTATTTAAAATTAGTTTCCAATTATTACTATTTTTGATTATTTTAACTACCCAAGTAATCAAACTTCTGTTAATGTGTCTATTTGCTGTTAAGCGCAAAAATACATAATAAGCTATTTGTGCTTTATTCAATTTTAACCTTACAGGGTTTTTTTTTCTTCAAATTTGTTCAGCTTTGGTAATTCATGGGGGGGGGGGAGCTTGTGATATGAGGGTCTTGGGTTAATTCCCATTGCCTGCCCTATCTTTATTAATAAAACGTGATCAACTAATCGGGCCATCATTTACTTCACTGGCTTAACAAATACCAATATCTACACATGGTAGTTTTTTTCAGTAAGGCCCATCACAGTCAAGTGTTTTATCACACAGAATCCATGGTTATAACCATACCCTAAAAAAATATATATTTAACAAATTTTCTGCAATGCCCTAAAATCCTAGGTTAAGCTTCAATTAAGCTTTAATTATGTTAACAATAAATGTAATATATACAAATATCAGTTACATCTATTTTTGTGATGTGCTTTTTTTTTTTATTCTTGTAACATTTCACTGCATGCTACCAAGAGAAAATTCTAAAATATTAACAACTTAACATTTGTGTTCCCATTATGTATAGCTATAGTTGAAGCACAGAGGAAACTTAGTTGGTGTTACCTAATAGGTTTAACAAAGTAAAGTTTATTGATCCTACATGTATTATTAAATATCAATTGATACTACATCATATTTCAATAATCTACCAAATATTTTCAAAAGTTTAACACTACTTAAGTGAAGTTGATCCTTTATAGCTTTGCAGATATAACACTATAGGTATGTATCATAGTTATAATGAGTTATATTAACTGACTAAAACTACCTGTGGTCAAGATGATGATCTCTGGTAAATTATCATTTTATGTTTAAAACTGTAATCAGATGCATATCTAGTATATTTTCTTGTATTAACATGAAAGTAGGGTACTGAATACCCCATTAAAAAATCCATAAAAAATCAATATAAAAACCCTAATGGACAAAAGGTATAGTAGAGCTATGAAAAAAAACAACAATAACAAAAAACACCTATAAATCATGAAATACTTTCATACTTAATGCCAAATACGAACTGTGAATCTGAAAATCTAGTTAACTGTATAACAAGTTCCAACTGTTTCAAAAGTTACATCAGACAAACCTGAAAACCTGTGTAAATTCAACAACACGTTGGTGATCCATCAACAAGCAATATTTTGTTTGTAATACTTCCATTTTACAAAATATTTTGAAATGGTGAAACAGAGCTGACAGCAAAAGAAATATATTTCCTAAAATTATTCCAGCCAATATTTAATTGTTAAAAAGATAAAGTTTGTATACATGTTTGTCTCCTTTAAACTTTTACTTACTAATTTGTATCCTTCACTTTTCTTTTGTAACTCCATCCATGATGTCACATTTAGAACTATCATTAATGTCTTTAGTCTATCTTGGATGAAAGCACTCACATTAAACAAGGAATAAATCTCTTATTTAGTTTTTCTGTATATTTAAAAACTTTTTACTGTGTTTATGTTAATGCAAATTCCTTGTATTTGAAAGTTAAAAAATAAATAGAAAAAGGTTCAGACATATATTATAAGCAAAGAAGCCTTCCACATCATATATTACTTACATGTTACAAAATCAATCAATCAATGATGTTTTTTGTAATTCTGACAATCAGTGGTAAAATTTTGTGAAACTTCTGTGAAAAAATTTTTTTTATTGTAAATTAAACATGGCAATTCCTTATAAGCACAGTATAACTGTTATTATGAATTCTAGAAAGTTCTGCAAATTAAGTTTTTAGTATTTATTTTGAACGACTTAAGTATTTTAGTCTTTAAAGAGATTTGGCAACTTAAATGATGATAAAAAAAAACTGAAAAAAATTTACCATTACGAAATGTATAATTTCATATGAATTCCAAACAGCCTCATACTAATGATTTCTGATTATAGAGGGCAGCAGAGCATTGCTAGTACAGTGAAAGTGAACTTTCTACATGTGATTTAAGTATAATGACTGGGCAGTGATCATTACCCAACACCCTACAAGAAATTACTGTGATTTGACCAATGATCTTCAGTTCTAATTCAAACTTTTTCAAAATACCATCTTCACTCACAAGATCATTTGGAGATCCAGCAAGATAACTATGTTATGTACCAACAAGTAATCCACATTGCTGAAAAAACATGTTTTATTTATTTTACTATAAGTTTTATCACCAGACCTTCAAAATTATTTCCATACATTGTCAATTCAGTAGTGAATCTAATGCATATAGTAACTGCTTGACTTTAGCATTACATGATGCTATTTCTTACATCTTGTAGATTTCATCAAAGCAAGATGATATTACTCTTTCACTTCTTTCTTGATCCCATTCCAAATATTCAGCTTGAGTTTTTGCACAGTCAGCCAGCTGTTTTCTTTCATTGTCATTTAATTCTAAGGTTTCAAAAAATTCCTGTTTTCTTACTTTCATCTGTTCATGCTAAAGATCTGGTTGTTGGGGCATTAGTGCCATAATGTTAGTCACCATTCACTATTTTTCTTCTAACTTCATATTGCTTTATTTTTGGCCTCCTCTGTCAAGTCATCATCTGCATTCCAGTTTTCTAGTTTTATGCCAGCTTCTAAAGCATTCACGAATACTGAAGGGCTTTCTTTGGTGATTTTCTTCCATGCCAAAAAATGCCAGTCCATTCCTCAATGATATGAAAATCCAAAGGCTCGAAACGTAAAATGAGATGCCCCATTTGATCGATTCAATTGTTTGCCAACAGCAAATTTTGGAACCAAATGTTTCTGGACAGTTGGTTGTTTTGTCAGTCACTAGTCTATCAGCTATCCTGACTAAATACCACTTCAGGCAATTAATTCTCTGATTCATAAGTTGATGTTTCCTTCCAGTCTTTAACATTCTGCTTTGTTTTTTTAGTGAAAGAATTTTTCTAGGGCTCTACAAAGAGGTTATGTTACAGGTGTATTCAGTTCTTTATAGGCCTTGCACTGACATCAATAAGTCTCTTGATCTATAGTTTACTCCACCATACTGGATATCTAGTGCTTATATTCGTCTTAGGTGAAATATGGCAAATTTGCCTTTTTATATTCTTTTACCTGATTCTGTGGATCTTCTCAGTGATGTGCATAAAGTAAAGAAAAACATATTGAGAAACTGAGCAGCCATTCAACACCTCGTACAGCATGTAAAGTTTTACTGAATCTTGTATCGCTATGGATTGCTTGCTATAAGAGAAATATTTTATACCTAACATGGTATCATTGAATTAAACAAAGATTTGTGATATCCCAAAAATAATTTTATTCCATACTTGCCCATCATAACACCAAGGTTTTTGTATAGTTGACTAGTATACAAGGTCATTGTCATTATTCCACCTTCAAAATATGCACTTCTAATTGGGCATTTCAAACATCAGTAAATGAGAGATCAACATACTTGGAACAACTTCACAATTATTTTTGAATAAGCATGTGTAAACTTATACATATTTGTAGATACTGTGGTGTTACGTGAATGTAATAATTATGTATGCATGCACAGAATGTGCTGTGCTATTATATAGTTGAAAATACTTCAGTACCTCAGAAAGTCTTAATACCACACAAATCTAGTAAAACTGTCGTGTATTCAAGCCAAATGAATCACTGATTTTCCATACACTTTTATACTAATAACTTTGAGATACAAGTATATTTTTCATACACATGCTTTTCCTCATTGTTGTAGTCTGTTACAGCTTCTAAGAAAGTTTTTGATGCATTTTATCTTTTAAACTTTAACAACCTACATGATTACTAACAAGTTGTTATAATTTTGTTTTACATTATGGTTTTTACCAGAATTTTATGATACAATTAATAACATTGATTTACGAAGTTATTTTTAGACAATGTTACCAGATTTCAACCGTACCATTTTATCTACTTACCTCAAACACTATTCATAACCTATTTACTTGGAATTTCTAAATACAATTTACATTTATGTATGAGTGACTTATAACAATTTCTCCAGCATTCATTGCATAGATGATGATTTGATAAGAAAATTCTGTGTGAGATTAGTTTATAAAATATTTCCAGAACTTACATTGTAGGAGATTACAAAAAAAAATTTTTTGTTGTAAGTTTATAAGAAATACATGCCAAATAGTTGTGCTGTGTGTGATGAAAAAGTACGACTGTTGTAATAAAGGTTAGAATAAGTATATTCTCAGTATGTATAGTGGACTAAAGGAAGGTCGGATTCTACTGAATTGATTGTGGACTTAGTACTTCCAGGAAAACCATGATCATTAAACAGTATATGTAGATATCACACTGAAAACCTACAGCAAAAGTGAGGCCCTCCTGTAGCCAAAATTTGTTAGTGATGAAGTAGTAAACAGTGATTTTCACAGTAACAGATTTATAGTGAGGTTTATTTCTACATTATATTTTTGATTTGTCAAGGAACTCAGGGATCAAAACATCACATTTCCCTAGTTCCCGAGTAGTTTTGTTTTTCGATTGGTTATTTAAAATTCCAGGATGTGATAGGTTTGTTGTAAATATACATGTAGTGTGATAAAAAGTCACTGCATAATGTATTTCACTAATTGTTTTTGTTTTGTTTTTTCTTAAAACAATCTATTTGGATGTCATTAACCTTGTCACAGCTCTAAGTATAGGACTTAAAAGTCATGACAGTGCATAACTTTTACGTCACCTTGTAGAAAATGATTTAATATTAGTAATACATCATGTCTATAAAACTTTGTATCCTTAGCCTGTGCAATATTCTACAAGAAAACAATCTTATTAGTAAAGTTTGGTTGGTTAAGTTCCTCTTAAATTGTCCCTGGTGTATATACATGTACACTGTGTATGCGTTTGTACAAAAGTTTCTCAATATATTCCGTTTTTGAAATAAATTTAATTCATTATTAATGTACATTCAAGTTATCCTACTGTACACATGTACATGTGTTTAACATCATTAATATTTCCCCAAGGGTTTTGAAGGAGGATAATGATTGGATACATGAACCCCTTGCTACTATTTTTTGTAAATCCTTGAATAGTGCACAAGTACCAAAGGATTGGAAGTTAGCTAATGTCACTCATCTTTTCAAGGAAGGTGATAAAAATTGTCCCAATAATTATCAGCCCATTGGTCTTACATCAGTTGTGGGAAAAGTTTTGAAAAATCTGAAAAAAAGACTTTGCAAAGCCATTTAATAAAGTTTAGAATTTTACTGGACAGCCAAGATTGTTTCAATAAAGGAAAATCTTGCCTTACAAATCTTTTGACATTTTTTGGAAACGTTATTGCTTATGTAGATGAGGATAAGGGTGTAGATTTGATGTAATTGGATTTTCAGAAAGCATTAGACAACGTGCCACATAAAAGGCTTGTAAAAAAAATTATTTCTATAGGTGTGGTAGATAAGTTAGCAAATTGGATAGAAGAGTGGTTGGATGGAAGAAAGCAGACAGTTGTTATAAATGGAGTACAGTCAAACTGGATTAATGTTACAAGTGGAGCACTTCAGGGCTCAGTCTTAGAACCTTTGCTTTTTTTGATTTACATGAAGGAATAGTCAATAAATTACTTAAATTTGCAGATGATACTAAGGTCTTGGGTGTTGCTAGCCATGAAGAGGATGCTGCTGATTTGCAGAAGGGTTTAGATCATTTAGTGAGTTGGGCAAATAAATGGCAAGTGGGTTTTAATTATAATAAATGCAAGATAATGCATATGGGTTATAATTTGAATAATACATATAATTTGGACAGGAATAACTTTAACAGTGTCATGAAAGAAAGGGATATTGGTGTAATAGTCGATCAGTCTATAAAGCCATCCAAGCAGTGTGCTGTTGCTAGTGGTAGGGAAAGTAGGTTTTTAGGTTGTATCTACAGAAATATTGAATACAAGTCTAAAGAGATTATAATTTTATGGTATAGGTCACTGGTTAGGCGATATTTGGAGTATTGTGTTCAGTCTTGGGCTGCTTACCTTAGGTAGGACATTGAATTGTTGGAAAGGGTTCAGAGAATAGTGCCTGGGATAGAAGGGTTGTCATACAAGAAGTGGTTGAAATCTCTGAAACTGTTTTATTTTGAAAAAAGAAGAGTTAGAGGGGATCTGATTGAAGTGTTTAAGATGGTAAATGGAATTGAGAGTTTGATGCATCATCTTATTTCATATTTAACAATAAGAATAGTAAGACTAGGGGACACAAATATAAACTGTGGCAAGGTAGGAGTCATCTTCAGAGAAGACAGCTTTATTTTTCTAACAGGGTGTTTGGCTTTTGGAATGGGTTGCCTTTGGATTTTGTGGAGAGAGTAAATTTAAACGACTTTAAGAGAAAGCTTGATAACTATAATAGTTTTAGTTTAGTTTAGAGGATGGGACCTCAATAGATCCCATGTTGTTCCAAAACATTATGTTATGTTATTTTCATAAAACAAAAGTACACTATTCACATATTTTCCAACCTCTGTGCCACAAGTGATGCTACAGATGCAGTTTTCTTCATTTGTACATGAGCAGCTTCTGCACACCTCATATCTCTGTCTTGAAACTTCATGTAACAACTGAGCAGGTCTATCTTCTATCCATGCTCCAACAGCTCGTACTTCAACAGTTCTATCTCCAAGTGAAGAGTTGCAAACGGGCTTTTTTGTTGAATATGACATTTGCTAGGGATTCCTCATCAAAGTAATTCTGCAGTATGTACAAAATTATCTACATGTAAGAGTATTAAGTGGCTGTATGCAGCACATATATTAGTACCATAATTGTTTATTATCCTTTGCTTAATATATTGTTTAATCAATAAAGTATTTGAAAAAGTTCATGTATGGTGAGCATAATGTAGTAATGAATCCTTAACTAAAGCAATAAACAATTAAATTATAAAAAAAGTCTATATCTTCTTATGTCATAATTCCTTAGTGCAAATTATCATAACAGAATTAGTGCTCTTTCAGAATATATATTCTTTGTGATACTTTCTAAAAATGTATTTAATTATTTGGTGATAATATTAAACATGCACATGAAAATTGGATTCATTTTTATTTAAACTTGGATCAAAACATCATATAGCAGTGGAAATTTTGAAAAAGCTCTTTCAGCACTGGCTCAGTAGATTTGACCAATCTTTTAACCACCATAAAAAATTAGGAAATAAATATAAATTATGCCTCTTTTATTCTACAGTGACAACAAATTATAACACAAAAACATAAATGTTTAGACTAAATAGCTAAAATCTCATAACATTATACATTTATATATATTTATTATCTATATTATATTGACCTAACAATACAGAAGTTGCAAGAATGTGGCAAACATACCCTCATGTTACCATATTCAATAATATAAAACTGACCTTTGGTCTTTACAAAGTAACTTGTCTTGGCTGTGTTTTAGTAGACTAGTATTTTATAAAATACAGTCACATTCCCATTATACATTATATATGTATAAAGGTTATTTAGAAATAAGTTCTTAAACTAATATTTTTAAAATACAGAACAGTAAATAGAAAAGTAAAGCAAACAATTATCTCTTCTAGTTACGGCATTTGTACTCAGTTGCTGCATGACATATGTTGCTAATCCTTTTAATATTTTGCAAATGGAGGATAAGAAACAAAATTTTTATTAGGTTTTATATATACAGTTGAATAACCAAAAAATCATAAA